GCAATAGTCGCATCGCAAAGATATGCAATGTTGAGTCTGACTTATAACTGACCAGGAGCTAGAGAGTTGTGTGTAATCACTGTAATTATATGGATTATATAAGAAATATGCAAAAAAAAAAAAGTTTTTCTTTGATAGAATGTTTGTCTTGTTTCTAGTCCAAATATCTACATTTCAAAGTAAAAACAAAATTATTTCGCTTAACCCACTGGCAGATCATTTTGCTTGTTTTAAGGAAAAAACTCTTCAGAAACCTGTAAGTTTTTTTTTTCTTCTGACAGTGAAAGCTAAACAATATTTTTTTACCTGCTCTAAATTTTTATTTTTTTTAACATTTGGACTATAAACAAGACAAAACAAAGTCAGAAAAGCATTTGTTTGCATTGTGATTAATCCATTTCTAATGCTGAATACTGTTAGGTTCCCTAGAAACAAATAGAGCTATTCGAACTCTAATGAAACCGTAATGAAACAAAATCTAATGAAACAAATCTTGTGAAACGGTAGTGATATCGCAATATTTATCACAGTAACATTTTACATTTTTCCCATATTGTGCAGCAGACCTACTGGGAATCACCCAATGCCTTATTAAACTGTTTTATAAAACACTGTGTGTAAAATAAAAGCAGAATAGTGTCATGTTTGTCACAAAACACCAGTATGAAAAGGTCCCATATAACTCTATCTTAATAATCTCAAATGGAGAGACGGAGAGATGAGTGGTGCACAATAAGAGAGCGGCAGTCTGCTCATCATTAGATCTTCAATGCGTGTGCTCCCCTTCCTGTGACAGGTTGGGCCCCCTGTCAGTTGTTTTGCAAAGCACCTTGGGTGTTCCCTAAATTCAGCCCATGGAAAGACATTACCAAGACAAGTGGAGACAAATAGCATGACAGAGCGCAAATCTCGATGCGATTCAGTAGCAAAAACATCTCCAGGGCTATCAGCAGCCATTAGCGCAACGTTCTGGTGAATTACGGTGAAGATTACAGGGACGCCGGACTCCTCTGTCACTGTCACACAGCCGGTGACAAAACAGTTTGCGTTACCTGCTTAAGCACGGCAGACATTAGCACCTCCCTTCCAGGTACAGTAATCAAGAAGGTGACGGCACGCAATTAATGAGGTCCATCTGCAGCAGTGCCTATACATAATTAATGAGCTCATTATCCGCACACTTTGACTTTAGGCCCCTTCGCTAGACACACAGACTACAGGAGCGCAGTTAAAATACAAAGTATATGTGGTTAGCATCAGAAAAAACGGCGCAGTTTAACACAAACAAGTCTTTGCAGGAAAAGCAGTCCTTATTTTTATTCAGTGGCCACTGAATGCTAGCATGATGATGTTGATCACATGGACTGGAAGAAAATAAGTAACAATAATATGAAGTTTCTAGAAAAAAAACATGTAGAATTTGATCATTATAAATCCAAGCGACTTCAAGTATTATTTACAGTTGGTTGTTTTATTACTGTATAATGTTGCTCAGAGGAAGCAACTGATGAGTTACCCATGATTGTTTCATCATCACAGTGCATCCGGAAAATATTCATAGAGCTTCGCTTTTTCCACATTTTTTTATGTTACAGCCTTATTCCAAAACAGATTAAATTCCTTTATTTCCTCAAAATTCTATACATAATACCCCATAATGACAATGTGAAAAAGAGTTTTTGAAATTGTTGCAAATTTATTAAAAATAAAAAACCTGAAAAATCACATGTACATAAGTATTCACAGACTTTGCCGTGAAGCTCTAAATTGAGCTAAGGTACATGCTGTTTCCAGCAGCTTTACTGGAGTTCATCTGTGGTAAATTCAGTTTATTGGACATGATTTGAAAAGGCATACACCTGTCTATATAAGGTCCCAGGGTTGACAGTGCATGTCAAAGCACAAAGCAAGCATGAAGACAAAGGAATTGTCTGTAGACCTCCAAGACAGAATTGTCTCGAGGCAAAACATTTCTGCTGCTCTGAAAGTTCCAATGAGCACAGTGGCCTACATCATCCGTAAGTGGGAGATGTTTGGAACCACCAGGGCTCTTTCCAGAGCTGGCCGACCATCTAAGCTAAGTGATCAGGAGAGAAGGGCTTTAGTTAGGGAGGTGATCAATAACACGATGGTCACTCTGTTTGACCTCCAGTGTTATTCTGTGGAGAGAGGAGAACCTTATAGAAGGACAACCATTTGTGCAGCAATCCAGCAATCAGGCCTGTATGGTAGAGAGGCCAGATGGAAGCAACTGCCCTGCTGGAATTTGCCAAGGACATCTGAAGGACTCTCAGACTATAAGAAACAAAATTCTCTGGTCTGATGAGACTAAAATTGAACTCTTTGGAGTGAATGCCAGGCTTTACGTTTGGAGAAAACCAGGCACCGCTCATCACCAGGCTAATACCTTACTACAGTGAAGCATGGTGGTGGCAGCATCATGCCGTGTAGATGTTTTTCAGCAGCAGGAACTGGAAGACTAGTCAGGATAGACGGAAAGATGAATGCAGGAATGTACAGAGACATACTGAATGAAATTCTGCTTCAGAGTGTTCTCAACCTTAGACTCGGGTCACCTTTCAGCAGGACAATGATCTAAAGTACACCACTAAAATATCAATGGCGTGGCTTCACAACAACTCGGTGAATGTCCTTGAGTGGCCCAGCCAGAGCCCAGACCTAAATCCTATTAAACATCTCTAGAGAGGTCTGAAAATGGCTGTACACCGTCGCTTCCCATCCAACCTGATAGAGCTTGAGAGGTACTGCAAAGAGGAATGGGCAAAAATTCCCAAAGACTAGTGTACCAAGCTTGTGGCATCATATTTACTAAGACTTGAGGCTGTAATTGCTGCCAAAGGTGCATCAACAAAGTATAGTGCAAAGGCTGTGAATGCTTATGTACATGTGATTTTTCAGGTTTTTTATTTTTAATAATTTGCAACAATTAAAAAAAAAACATTTTTTTTTACATTGCCATTATGGGGGATATTGAGTAGAATTTTGAGGAAGTAAATGAATTTACTCTATTTTGGAATAAGGCTGTAACATAAAAAAATGTGTAATAAGTGAAGCTTTCCGCATACAGTGAAGCATACAGCTTGCACTGTATGATCGTTTCTATATTCTATAAAGAGTAATGTATTTTATTTTAGCTATTAAACATTTGAAAATGCCTTTAATAATCTTGGGGACTGGACACTGATTTTAGGTATGAAAATGTTTTATTCATGTAGGAGTAAATAAAAATGAAGGTCACCACAAATTGTGTCAATCATTGCAACACTATAAAATTCCCTTTTGTAATGATCTGCACATGTACTATCGCCATAGGCAGTCATACAAGCCGCTAAAACTTTGTGAAGTTTCAACGCGTCCCGTGGCTCTATCTGTACCTGTAAATGTTTTCCACACTCTCTCCACCCCCATTCTCTGCTAATGAAGGCCTCGTGGCCTCTTGTTATTAAAATCACGCCTCTTTCTGCCATATTAATTGGGTCCATAATAAGGAATGTGCCGGATTCATTATTTAATTGTGAGGGAACATTTGGAATACAGTTTCTGAAATCTATTTTTAATGAAAACTACTACATCCTGACCTAATCATATCAAGCATACTCTATCTAATTAAGGATGCAAAAAATCATTAGAGTTGCAAAATATTAGTTTCAGCTCTGTCTGGCTGCTCCCTCCCCTCCCAACATACATATTTTTTTGTCTAGCGTGTTGATAAATTCTTAATGAGGGAAAAATGACAAAAATTTGCATGTAGGCAAATTAGTTTAATAGGGATATGTCTTTGCTGAGTTGGGAAAGTGACCCTTTTTTGCATAGAGAAATTGCCACAATAATTATGAAATAATGGCCTGGCCCCGTCTTATTTAAATGAAAAATCGTCAGCCTGAATAATGTAAAAATTGTGGAATGCAATAACCCTAAATTTTCATCATGCTGGCAAATGTGTTTAATGTGCTAGCATTTTATCAGTTCAATAATGGCAAATTAGGGCCAATATGAGAGAGGAGGTTGTGACTGTAGTTCTAAGACGGAGACCGCTCTAGTTGGAAAAAAGATTCTGCAAGTGGCTTGCTAAACGATGCTGTTTTCTTAATTACAATCTAAACAACTGCATCCAATTAGTAGCACCTACTTTACTAATATTGTCACAGCTGTAGCCGTGCGTTCAGAATCTAAAACATAAATGGGGTCATTGCAAAAGGCTGCAAAAATAATGTGATTAGCAAAGGTCTACCATTGGAGCTGGGAATTACAGAATGCCTTTTTAATGACTTGTTTGACAGCCAATAACATTTCTTCATCAAGACCACTAAAAGAGGAGTTGCCACCCAAGTTGTGTGTGCGTGTGCGTGTGTCCTCATGCGTGCCTCTGTTGATTGAGCGGTCTTTTTTCTTAATGAAATATTGCTGGAAATTGATTTCCGTGGATTAATCAAGCCCAATTCCTTTTTGGATAATTAGCCCCAACTAATTAGACTAGCTAAAAACCTCTGTGACAAATTTTTGGCATTCATAAATGTAACTAAAGAAAACAGAACGATTGGAAATAATAACGTTATATCCTTTGATTTGATTTTATGTTAATTATAATGCATATTATAAAGCTCAGTGAACAGTTCAATGTGACAGTCCGTTTCTGAAAGCCATCACAAAGGCTTTCTTACTCATAAATGCTAGCGGGCATCTATGAGCCATCAGACAGACAGAAATCTTTTGCAGAGGCAATCTGATGGATTAGTATCAACTACCATTTTGCCCATCTTCTTTAAAACAACCATTAATCCAATTAAGCGCCTGAGACTTGAGGAGAGCTTTGCAACAATCAAGCATTATGTGGTAATGCAGCCCGTGGCAGCTGGATTTCCTTCTTGCAAATATATATGTATACGAATTTTTTATTATTATTTTTTTATCTGAATCACCGGACCAGTGTTCAGTACAGGTTTTACCATATAAACAGGTCGGAAGTTCCTCAGACTCACCTTACGTCTCTCTCCGTTGAAGCCTCTCCATTGCTCTGCCTTCTTTACAATGTAATCGAGCTCCTGGTTGGAGACCTCCATATCGTGTGGCACAAAGAACTCTCTCTCAGTGCCGTGGAGGCGTTGGTAGATATCTAACAATCTTCCATCATTGTGCAGCCTGTAAAAAGAAAAGCAGTAACACTTCTTGTCAATCTTGTCATGCATAAAATGATTTAGTATTATTACATTCAAACTGTGGTATAAATTAGACAGAATTATAGGGGAAAACACCATGTTCTGTAATCAGTCACAATGCAAAAGAATCAATGGCGTTCCCAGTTGGCAATGTCAACATTAGTGTTGTGCTCTTAAGAATGCTGCTTTCTGTTACTTTTCTTTCTTTTTTATAATTTATTTGGTCCATTTTTATCTATCTATCTATCTATCTATCTATCTATCTATCTATCTATCTATCTATCTATCTATCTATCTATCTATCTATCTATCTATCTATCTGTCTGTCTGTCTGTCTGTCTGTCTGTCTGTCTGTCTGTCTGTCTGTCTGTCTGTCTGTCCATCCATCTATCTTTCCATCCATATGCCCGCCCGTCCGTTTGTCCGTCCATCCATCCATCCATCCATCCATCCATCCATCCATCCTTCAGTCTGTCTGTCTATCCTTCCATTAGTCCATCCATCAATCCATCCATTTATTCATCTGTCCATCCATCCATCCATCCTTTTATATATCCGTCTGTCTGTCTGTCTGTCTGTCTATCTATCCTTCCATCCATCTATTCATCATTCTGTCTGTCTGTCTGTCTGTTCATCCATCCATCCTTTTATATATCCGTCTGTCTGTCTATCTATCCTTCCATCCATCCATTCATCATTCTGTCTGTCTGTCTATTCTTCCTTCCTTCCTTCCATCCATCCTTCTGTCTGTCTGTTCATCCATCCATCCATCCATCCATCCATCCATCCATCCATCCATCCATCCATCCATCCATCCTTCTATCTGTCTGTCTTTTTGTCCATCTATCTATCTGTCCTTAGATCCATCCATCCTTCTGTCCATCTATCTATCTATCTATCTATCTATCTATCTATCTATCTATCTATCTATCTATCTATCTATCTATCTATCTATCTATCTATCTATCTATCTATCTATCTATCTATCTATCTATCTATCTATCTGCCTGTCCGCCAGCCCGTCCATCCATTAGTCCATCCATCCATCCATTCATCCATTTATTCATCTGTCCATCCATCCATCTATCAATCCATCCTTCTATTTGTCTGTCTATCTGTCCATCTATCTATCCTTAGATCCATCCATCCTTCTGTCTATCTATCTATCTATCCATCCATCCATCCATCCATCCATCCATCCATCCATCCATCCATCCATCCATCCAAACATATATCTCATTTTATTTAGTTTATTGAACATATAATTAAAAAGCCAATAAGTAAATTTAATCTTAATTATTAACATATTCTTCACACTTGCTAAAATATTGGAATCCGCTGTTGAGGCGTAGAAATGAAACTAGGACATTAAACTAATAAAAACGATGATTAAAAAAGCAATTTATTGGTTTGTTCCAAACTTGCAGGAGAGAAGTTAAGAACTCAAACAGGTTTTATGCCACCTTGTCACATCCTGGTCATTTTGTTGTCAAGGCTGTTAACGTCTGACGAACAGCTCACCTGACCTTTCCAACACAGTGAAATTGTGATGAGCTTCAGCTCGGCAGAAAAGCAGACCCGACCCGTCAATGTCAACTGGCAGAACAGAAGCGACTCTAGTCTACGATCACATAACTGAAAAGGTTTGACACCTCTGTTAACTAATTCTAGTATTTTCTTCTCCCCTACATTCAGCTTAAGTAAAAGTCTTGCACCTCTAGTGGGTCTAAAACCTCTGAAGTATATCAGATAGCGTCTTCTCACTCACTCATCACAGAGAAGGTGCTGTGAGTGTCTTGGGGAGAATACTGGATTCTAAAATCTAAAAGTAGTGTAGGAGGCTGGTCTGTTCATGTTTTTGTGGGAAGGTTGCCATTTCAGTTCCTACCTTGATTCTAATGTTCTTCAAAGAAGGTGAACATGTAAAGGTATTTGAATTTCTGTCTGGTGAGAAAGCCTTGAGTCATATGACCACTACAGAGTGCTTATTGATATTGAGTCTTGAGGTGAAAGCTTCTCAGACATCTCTCATACTGAGTGAATAAATCAACCAACAGCCGTGAAAACACAGCTTGGCTTCTCTTCAAAATGCCTTGACCCTCTCCTGTGGAAAAGAGATTCTTTTCACTCATAGGGTAATGAGTGAGCCAGAAATTGAAAGATCTACCATGCAAAGAATAAAGGATGAAGCGTTGTGGAGCTTTGTCAAATGTAACAATTCATCATTCTACCAGGGGAAAGAGGTGTGATTGCAAATGCCATGGCATATACTCATGATCTAAACTTGTACAAATATATCAAGATAATGAATTAATGTATGATTACATGAACAGAATTTCCTAGGCACACATATTCTATTATAGAATTGAGGGGTGTGACGAGATCTTGTGGCATGACCATGTCATCATGGTTAGTGCCAGTGTTGGGCAGTAGTGTCGCTACAAGTATTGACGCTACTAGCTTAACTACACTTCTCAGTAGCGTTGTGGTAGCGTCGCTACTTTCCAAATCAAATAGCTTTTCAGCAACGAAGCTATTTTATTAATCAAGTAGTGCAGTAGCGTCCACACAAGCTACATTTACCGACTCCGGATCAATAAGTGACGACACCGACATTCACACTGCTGTGAGGCCCGAGTCTGGACGATGAAGGTAAATCCATATGATGGCATGAATGAAGATTTCTTCTTCTTCTTGTTGTTTTATGGTGTTCGACAACAAACTTTTTGGTGTGTTACTGCCACCTCTGGTGAAACTTGCTTGATGGAAAGATGACTGAGGGAGAAGAGTTATTTCTGAAGCAGGATTCCTCGTGACCAAACCTCGAGAAGTACATGTTAAATAAAAATACTAAATATATACTAGAAAAAAAATATATATATATATATATATATATATATATATATATATATATATATATATATATATATATATATATATATATATATATATATATATATATATGTATATATGTATATGTATATATGTATATGTATATATGTATATATACAGTTGAAGTCAGAATTATAAGCCCCCCTGAATTATTAGCACCCCTGTTTATTTTTTCCCCAATTTCTGTTTAATGGAGTGAAGATTTTTTTAACACATTTCTAAGCATAATAGTTTAAAAACCTATTTCTAATAACTGATTTATTTTATCTTTGCCATGCTGACAGTAAATAATATTTTACTTGATATTTTTCAAGACACTTCTATACAGATTAAAGTGACATTTAAAGGTTTAACTAGGTTAATCAGTCAGGTTAGGGTAATTAAGCAAGTTATTTTATAACAATGGTTTGTTCTGTAGACTATCGAAAAAAAAATAGCTTAAAGGGGCTAATAATTTTGTCCCAAAAATAGTTTTTAAAAAATTCAAAACTGCTTTTATTCTAGTCGAAATAAAACAAGAAGAAAAAA